TGAAGGAAGATTGGCTTGGGATTCTGGTAGATACTATAGCCAGGATGACTGGTGCTTTCTTGTGTAGTCATGGATGGTCTCCTGAATTCCAGAGTCGGCACTAGAATACTGTACTTGCTTTGGTTTTTGTTAAAGGTGTTCCAGGAAGAGACACATGGGTGACTTTTTGAAGGGATTACCTTTGATTTTGGCCGAGGTAAACTTCACCTTCCCAATCTGAAAACTCCTGAGAGCCAGGCTGAGGCTGATGGCCATGGCACAGGGCCAGCAGGTTGGAATCAGCACTGTCCTGGGCCCACAGACTTTGAGAGGTCATGGTGTGGGTGGAGGTGGGTGCTGCAATTATGAAGCAAGATAAATGTAGCTCCAGGCAGTGCCAGCCCAACTGTCTGGCATCTTTTGACTGTTTTCAGCTGTTAGATGACCTGTCACCTCCTCTGCTATTGATGCCGTGTATGCTTAGGGACCCTACTCAATCTCTCTCCTTTTTGGCCTTCACAGCTAGGTAGTGGCTTCTCCCAGGCAACATACTCTTTTGCTTTGCTTACATGTGTGTGGTAGGCCCAGGGCACATCTATCCACATGTCTTTTCATCCATCCATCCATCCATCCATCCATCCATCCATCCATTCATTTGCACATACATTTATATATCCATGTATCCACTCGTGGTCCATCTATGCATTCATGCATCTATTCATACACCCATCTCAATATCCATTTATGATGCATGCATGCATCCATCCATGTATTCATATATCCAGCATCCATCATTTTATACTTTGGTTTCTCATTGGGATCAGCATTGGGAGCTTTGATCAGGGATGATCTGGGGACAATTAGTAGAGGCTCTGATATAGCCTAGGGAGGCTTGGTAGAATATCATCCTCAAGTCTTTGAGCCAGGAAACAGGTGGTGAATCCCAGGGGCAGAGTGGTATGAGAAACTGCACACAGGGAGACTCCATACAGATTCCTAGTTGGCAGGGCAGCCCCAAGTGTCTGAGCTGGGTCTGAGGAGTGAGGAGGAAACTGGGTTGGTGTCACTCTGGCATGTCCAAAGTTACTGGCTTTCCTGGAGGGCAGCTACTACTCCTAGGAGGTTGGGTGTTCTAGAAGGAGTGGGCAGAGTGAGTTTTAAGCATCCATGAAGGCTGCTATATTGTGGCTGTGGTGACAGAGTCCAAAATCAGCAGAAGGCTAGACAAAGCTAGTGCACAAAAGCTGAACTGGGACCTTTCTTTCTGTCTGTATGGGTGTCAGCATCCCATATAGTGGGCATTTCAGCACAGCCAGCCCCTTGGTGTCCTGGTCAATGTGATGACTCCAGAGAGAGGCCATCTTAGAAGAGGACAAGAGTTAGTCTCCCAAATGGAAGGAATGTGTCCACCAGTGCTGGACCAGGCAGGGCCAGAACCTTCAAACTCGATTTTCTTACTGAGAACATGAAACTCCCCTACCCTCTCTATAACTTTAAGGGGAGACTAGTAAGGAAGTAGAAAGACATTAGGTGACGTCCCAGCATCACTTGAACTCATTCCCTGTGATCTCTTCACCCCAGAGGCCTGTTGGCAGACAGCCAGAGGAACACAAACAGGAGAGTCCCTCAGGGCCTTTGAACTTATTGCCCCCTCTGCCTCAGCTCCCTTCCCAGGCCTGGGTATGGCTGGGTCATTCACCTATGCTATTAAGTGCTGGCGACACGGCGACGCCTCGTCCTGTTATAGAACCCTCACCATGCGCTATCTTGTTTCTAAGCTCTCTGTTCTTCAGGGTACTACTATCTGAAAACACATTTTTTTCTGTTTATGTATGCATTTACCCCCTCCCCCCCATCTCCTGTTCCCAACCCACTCCTTGGGGACAGGGACCTATTTATGTTTTCAGTCTTTTTTTGGGGGGCGAGCACAGGGAACAGGGGCAGAAAGTGGGATCCGAAATGTATTTGTTGAACAAGGTAGATTTCTCCCTCCCTCCTTCCTTTCCTCCCTCCCCTCCTCCTTCTTTCCTTCCTTCTTTCCTTCCTTCCTTCCCTCACCTTCCCTTCCTCCCTCCCCCCTCCCTTCCCTGCTTTTCTCTACATGTCTCCCTACCCCTGGAGTAGTCCTAGCAGGACCTTCCTCTCACCCCTGCCAGGACCTGTGAACTGGTTCAAGGTCACCCAACTGGACAGGGGACCAAGACTCAAGCCAGACAGTCACCCACCAATACACACATGCTACTCCATTTAGGGGACCAGGTGTGAGCATTTCCCAGCTGAAAGCCATTTTCCGGGGAAGCTCCTCTCCCTCAGTGGACTGCGGAGCTGAATGCGGATGTGCTGGCGGCTGCTGCAACAGCCCCATAAACATGAAATGGAAGCTTAGAAGGAGGCATTGGGTTGCAGGTTTCCTTGGTTTCTCTAGGCAGGACCTCCAGTGAATCCTCTTTATATGAAGTGCAGCATGGCACTGTAAGGCTGGCATCCTGGGACTCCCTCTGAACCTCCTGGGTTCCACTGAGGTGTCTCTGCTGATACCTGCTTTCCTGGGGGGCAGGGTTGTGTGGCCCTAGATGCTCTTTTGTCCAGGCTGGGCCCTTGATGGGCTGATGGCATGGGGCTGGCAAGGGAGGACTGTGGCTTCTCAGGCTTTAACTGGGCTCTACAGACACCCATTCTCTGCCAGGTCTGTGCTGGGTGCTAAGGAAGGAGTCTGGCCAGACACTGTCCAACCATGCATACATTTGTCTGTCCATCCATCCATCCATCCATCCATCCATCCATCCATCCATCCATGTTTTCAATATCTGTGAAGCTTTGTGATGGGCCACCCGGGAGAGACTAATGGAAGAATAGTCACAGCTTGCATTTATGGAGCTCTTGCTGTGTACCCCCAGGGCATGTGACAACCAGTTTACATGGGTGTCATCTTGTTTACTATTCACAACTCTGAGGCTGGGATTATTGTTCTCTTCATTTTGTGGATGATCAGACAGCCCATGGGAGTGTAGAGTATTTGTGGTCCCAGCTGGTAGCATGCAGGGATAAGTCATGGAGACACACACTCTCCTCTCAGCAGATACCCAGGCTTCTCACAGGGCCCCAGAAGGAAGATGCTTGTCCGAGGCTTGTCTGCTCAGAGGTGAAGGGTGAGTGGCTGTCCCCACCTGGACAGGAGGACAGTGACTCAGACTGGGAGAGCAGGATCAGGGCACATGGTTTGGGCTGGTGTTTCAGCTCTCACTGTGACTCAGGGTCAGATTCTGCCTTACATATTTCTCCCTTTCTTTCTCCCCCTTTCCTTTTTAATTTCTTTCAAAATTATTTTTATTTTATGTGCACTGGTGTTTTGTCTGTGAGGATGTCAGATTCCCTGGAACTGGAGTTACAGGCAGTTGTGAGCTGTCATGTGGGTGCTGGGAGTTGAACCCAGGTCTTCTGGAAGAGCAGACAATACTCTTAACCACTGAGCCACAAGCCAAAGCTGGCTTCAAACTTGGATGATCTGAACCTCTGACCACCTGTTTCCCTCTTCCTCTTAAGTGCTGGCATTACAAATGCATCTCTCTGCATCTCACTGTATCTATTTTTTTTTTTTGGCTTGTTTGTTTTAAATGAAGTCTAAAACTCACAAGAATCCTCCTGCCTCAGCCTCCTGAGACTACTGATGTACCTTATCTTGCCTGGCAAGAATGTCCCTTTCTTTCCATGTTTTGAGAGAAGAGATTATTGCTATTTTATTTTACCTTGTATGGGGATGATTGAAGTATTTTTTTTTTAAGAATTAATAACCCGTTTCTCCTTGCACATAATTAAAATGTTCTCCATTCTCTAATTTTTGTCATTTTCCTAATCTAATTTATTTTCGGAGTGCGTCGATTCCCTTCTGAGCACAAAGCAAGGGGGATTTTTCTTCCTTTAATGTGACTGGGATCCAAGTGTCCAGGAATCATTTAAACTACGTGATTTTCTCCTTGGTTAAAAACAGTGCAAACAGGGTTGTTGGAGTATCTTAAAAAGCACAACCCAAAATCAACAAGGCAAAAAAAAAAAAAAAAAAAAAAAAAAAAAAAAAGATTTTTGAGAGAAACACAGTACCAATAACCAGGCACAAGTTCACCAAGTTCACCAGGACAAGATGTTGCTGTCTTTTACTGGCCCGGGCTATACCTCCAGGAGCCACATAGCTGGCTCAGAATGCGCTGCGGGGGAGTTTTTGTCCAGTTAAATTCACCTGTAAACCACACCTCTCCACTGAGAGAAAAAAAATCAGAAAAAAAAAAAAAAAACCCTGTAGAATTTTCACTGTGTGATTAATCCGGTTCTTGGATCCTGGGCCCCGATGGGGACAGGGTGATGCACAGGAAGGGTAGAGCCTCTCATTCCAGCTCTTCTCCTGGGGCCACCACCCTGCCTCAGCAGAGGAGCTGCATGGAAAACCCCTTCTCTGGGTGCCTCTGATATGTCTCGAGGATAAATTGATGTTGAAGGAGGAATTTTCTTCCTGGGCTGTCCCTTCCTGCTTGGGCTTGCTGGGGTGAGGGTGTGGCCCTTCAGATGTGTTTCACGGGAATGTGGGGGAGGAGGTGGAGTTAGATGGGAATCCTTCCTGTTCCCTAAATCTGAAAGATAGAAATTTAACTTCCATATTTACAAAATGCCAGACATTGTCTTGTCCCCAGCTTAGCTACTTTGTAGACTCTGAGAATCTGGTTGGAGGGGGAAAACAATGTCTGAAGTGTTTAAACATGTTGGACCATGCACGCATCCGTTCATGGCATCATCGTCTATTTTTTTTTTTTCCTCATGGTTTCCTCCCTCCCTTCTCTCTTCTTTTTACCAAAGTATATTCATCAAACTGCTGAGTTGGAAAGATTTGTAATGAGTTTTTGAGCTGTGTGCGACTGTGTTTTCCCCCTTCTTCCCCCCACCCTTTCCCTCTTTCTAAATCTTCATCTGACATTAAATAAAACAAATCCCAAACAGATTAACTGTTGCATGGTTCTGCTCCGTCTCTTCAGTCTGTTTGCAGGTCTGGCGGGGGACCTGGCAGCAGTGGCAGTGGAGGCGGCAGTGGCGGTGGCGGTGGCAGTAGTGGCGGGAGATGCCCGGGTGGCCTACGGAGGTCCATGTGGCGCCCTAGGTGGGATCCTGGCATCCTGAAGGCCGAGGCCCTGGCCCTGCTCCCCTGCGGCCTGGGCATGGCGTTCTCTCAGTCACACGTGATGGCCGCGAGGCGACACCAGCATGGCCGACTCATCATTGAGGTGGACGAATACAGCTCCAACCCCACCCAGGCCTTCACCTTCTACAATATCAACCAGGGCCGCTTTCAGCCACCGCATGTGCAGATGTAAGTGCTGATGCCCAGGGACGGATGTGGGTGTCTCCCAGCTTCTGGTACATCTATAAACATATGTCCCAGGGGCTTGTGGACCAAAACCGGTCTGTACTGCACTTGGGTTGATGTTGGGAGGACCCTAAGGGAAGCCCCACACTTGTGGTCCCAGGGATCCACACTGGTTCTTCATTCCCTTTTATTGGACTTGGTAAATGCTTCCCAAGTGTTTGAAAGTGAGTTGATTGTATAGAGAGATCCAAGACTTGACGTTGGAACCATAGACATGCTTGTTCTTGGGGAATGTGGAGGGGCTGAGTTTCAGCTGTGCCTGTGGATGTGGCTTCACCAGATGACTGAGTCACAGACAGGGAGAGGGTCTTGCTGTAGGCCCAATAGTGAGTGGGTTCATGAGGTTCCAGCAGCTGTTGCTCTGGGACAAAGTATAATGGGTGAGTTACCAGATCCCAGCAGGCAGCATGATGGGGTAGTGGAGTAGTGTTTGGCCACTCCTTCCTGTGTGGCTTCCTTCAAGCTCTGTTAAGTGATCATCATTGGAAGAAAAGCACTGGGGGTGGCAGTTGTGTGGTCTGGAGGTGGGGGTGCCTATTTTCCCAGTAGCACTTCCTAGAACAATGCCCCTTCCTGTGGAAGCTTCGTCCCACATGGTCAGAAAGTGTAGTTTTTGGTGGATTTCTAGCTGAGCACTGCCTCTCTATGTCTCTTTTTAAAATTATTTTTATTGACGTTTTAATTTGTGAACTAGGCTGGAGGATTTACGCAGGTTGACTGCACTGTTGAGGGCACATCTCTTCTTGGTCTCTGGCACCCAATGTTCTGGCAGGGATGCTGCAGGCAGAGGCCTGTCTTGCCCTGCCTAGGTTTTCTTTTGTGTTGGTGGGACTGGAGATGATGACACTGAGGTCCTTGATGCTGGAGTTGATCCTGTCCAGTGGGAATTCTGGAAGCCCCAGGCCCTCAGACAGAGCAGTGGGGGCTGATGTGTGTCTGCATTTGGATGTACACCCATGTGTGAGTGTCTTGGCCCCCCAGATGTTGCTCTTTGGGGCTACTGTGGAATGTGACTGGGTTGGTAGACTCATGGAGACCCTAGCCTGAGGGGGGAAAACCATGCAGACAGGACTATGGGAGAGAAGAGCTGAGGAAGGTCCATCAACTCTGGGGTGTCTGTGAATGACCTTCTGGATAAGGTGGATTCTAGTTGAGACCTTAAGGAGTATGAGGCGATTGGCAAGGGGCATTAGGGTTCCCTAGGCTAGGCAGAAGGAGTAAAAAGGTGGAGCCTATAGAGGGCTGGGATGGGAGAGGGTGTCTGAGAATCTCAGAGGTGCCTGCTGGGTAGAGGGCCTGGGTAGAAGAGGGAGGCTACAGACCCTGGAGACAGATTGTGTCCTGGGGAAGGGCAGCAAGTGAATGAGTGAGAGAGGGTGGCTGTTCCCATTGAACCAGGGAACAGTGGAGGCCAGTTCTTCTCTCTCCCTCATTCATTCATTTGTTCATTCATTCATTCATCCATCCATACATTCAGGGTCCTTGGGAATAGTTAGGCAGCTTGTTGGTTAGAAACATGGGTCCTGGGCTAGCCTACCTGGGTGGGACTTTACACTGCTTAATGCCTCAGTTTCTCCAACAGCAAAGTAATATTTACAGTGAGGCAAAGGGTGCAATTGAGAAGTCTCTGAACAGTGTACTTGTGTGAGTGGCTGGTGTTCATCATACATGAGCCAGGCCTGGGTGTGGAGCTTAGGCCTGGGTGTGGAGCTTAGGCCTGAAGTGATCAGAGGCAGCTGTGCGCTCTTACTGGGCTTGTGTTCCAGACATCTGCTGATAGGCAGCAGCAGGCTGTAAAAGCATGCCAGTGCATGACTCTTGCAGTAGCAAAAATCATGGAGAAGAAGCATGGTAGCTTTCTCATTGTTTGTCTCGCTGGTGTCTGCCTTTGGCCTGCTCTGTGGAATACCTCTCCAGTCAGTGAGGGCCTGGCTTCCATGAGCAATGGGGGTTGAGTGGCCACTGGGGTGTAGGTAGGGCTTAGGAAAGAACACAAAGACAACTTAGAAATTCAACATTGCATTTAGCAGGATGAGGTCTGGGTAGGTACAGGACCCTGGGGCCGGCCTTCTGTCCCTTCCATTCAGGCTCCAGATCTGAGCTAGAGGTGGCCTGCAGGCTGTAGGGGATTTTCTGCTTCAGAGAGGTGTGCAGGGTGGCCGCTGTGATTTATCACTGCCACGGGCTTTGTCTCTAGGATGAGGGAGTGAGGGGGTCCCATTTAATAAATCCACAATTTATATTTAATAATAACAGTGACAGTTCAACATGGCCTCTGATTGAGCTGTGTGATTTACTCAGGTGCCCCTGAGACCCTGCTGGTAACTTGTCAGCCTTTGCCTGAGTAATGACTGTCTGCAACTGGAGCCTCCATCTGTGGGCCCTGGGGCTGAGAAATCCCAGGGGAGAGCCCTCCAGGTATCAAGACCCTGGGCATGCAGGTGTAATGGTGGCGTCTGCCATGAAGGTATTGGGGTAGGGGAGAACACATTTGGTGTTAAGCAAATAACTCTTCCCTTTGCCCTTTTGGGGTCACTGGAGACATGGACCAGATCCCCCAGGTTGTTTTGGGTGCTGGAGGATGTAGGGATAAGAATGGCAGGGCTAGGCTTTGAGGAACCTTCTGGCCCTGGTCCCTGGCACTTGACTGGGATGATACCCAACCCCCTTCCTTCAGAGGGAGAAGGGAAGCGTATGGCGTTAAGACACCCACTTGGCTCTGGGCAGTGGGCTCAGCCACTAGCTGAGAGGCTGAGTTCTCAGCCTGGAGCTGGGCAGAGGCCAGGGGCAAAGCAAGAAAGGACTCAGGCACATCCTATGTTCCTTGGCAACAAACATAGCAGCTGCTTCTGGTTTCCCAAGCCTTCCAGGTTTTATGTGTGTTTGTACCTGTGTGCATGTGGACACATGTAGGTATGAGTGTGGTGTGTATATATGTGTGTGCACATAGTATATGGTGCATGTATGTGAGTGTATGGCATGTGTATTTCTCTGTGTGTACATGTGTTTGCACATGTGTGCACATGCACATGTGTGTGCATTTGTGTAGGGGTGTTTTTATGTGTGTTGTGTGAGTTTATGTTGTGTGTGTGTACCTAGTATGTGTGTATGTGAATTTATGGTGTGTGTGTACATGTGTGCTTGTTTGCATACATGTGTGCATTACCTTATGTGTGCATGTGCATATGAGTGTGTTTGCACATGTGTGTGCTGGGTGAGTATGTGTTGTGTGTATACCTAGTATGTATGTGTGTGTGTGTGGTATGTGTGGTGTGTGTGTGGTATGTCTGTTTTGTGTGTACATGTGTGTGCTATGTATGTGTGTACTATGTGTGTGTGTACGTGTGTGTGTTGTGTGAGTGTGTGTTGTGTTTGTGCCACCTGGTGTGTGTGTGTTTGTGTGTGTGTGCATATACTCATGGAGGCCAGAGGTGAGGTTCCTCAGGAGCTGTCCACCTTACTTTTAGAGACCTGGATCTTACTGCTCAGCCTCCTGTCTCCACCTTCCCGGCACTGATTACAGGCATGCATGTCTGTCCAGTTTCCACTTGGGTTCTAGGGACTAACTCAGGGGTCCCTCTGCTTCCCTGGCCAGTGCTTTTCTCTCTGAGCTAACTCCTCAGCCCTGGCCTCAGATCTCTGCATAGGCTGTTTCTGTGGCTTCTCTAGCTCTCAACCCTGTGTGCTCTTTATAAAAGCCTCCAACTCTTACTGATCATAAATCTGGCCCTGCCCCAGCTGTAGATGCTCTTTCTGAGATGGGCTTGGTTCCTAGGCACCCCTGCACTCCTACCTGAGTCTGAGCCCTAGTATAGCAAATGGAAAGAAAGAGGGAGACCGAGGGAGGATGAGGCCAGGAAGAGCCCTGGGGATGCAGGGGGGAGGGGTTGGGGCCTCAGAAGCACTGCAGCATTTGAGGGAAGCTGAGTGGGCCATCCCAGCTGGAAGGACCCACTAGCTGAAGGCTGGGAGACAGCGGGAAGTACAGGCCAAGGGGTGTGTATGGGCAGGGTGGCCAGGTCACCTTGAACCTGCCCTTCTTGGGCAGAGCACCAGAGAGGGTCAGGGCAGTTGTGTTGTATGGAGCCAGCCACTCACTGCCCGCCTTGGGCTTCAGTCTCTTTTGCAGAATTCTCAAACAGTACAGCTGATGCCCACAGCTGCCTGTGTTACAGGCCTCAGACTTCAAAGCACCCTCTTTCCCTGGGGTAACTGAGGGACAGCACTCTCTTATGAAACCTGGCATGTTGCTGTCCAGGATGGCTTTTTGGGACAGAGTGAAGGCATTTTACTCACTGGGTGACCTCCCTAGCCTCCTGAAGTAAACTTTCGGGAACGAAACTGTGAGTGAAACAGCCTTTTCCCAAGCCTCAGTTTTGTAAAGTGTAAAATGGAGATGCTGGCAGGATACTGTGCAGAGGGTTAGAAGGAGGGAGAGGGGAGCAAATGTGGGGACACAGCACAGCCCATGCTGAGTTCCCAGAACCTGGAGTAGAGCTTGCTCTCTTTTTCTGCAAGGTTGGGCAAACAGCTTCGCTGCAGAGCTGAGCTTGGGAAAGGAGACTTCAGCTCACTTGTTCTCTGGGGATCTATGGGCTTCTATCTTCTCTGTGCTTAGAAGCCTCGGGGTGCAGGGAAATAAGGTAAAGTTAATTAAAGAGCTTGGGCTCCCACAACCCGATGATGTTGATGAGAGCCCTGGGCTGCCTGGTGGCCAGGTCATCTCTTCAGGAGAGGCTGCGGATCCCACCACACTCCCAGCCTTCCCCCTCTTCCTTTCTCTCAAACTCTTTGACTTAGCCTTTGTAACATTATGACATTTATAAAGTGTGCGTGTGTGTGCGTGCGTGTGTGTGTGTGTGTGTGTGCGTGCATGAGAGAGAGATGTGTGGGAGAATACATGGATTTGTTTGGTTTGTCTGAGTTCCCATGTGCACTGGTAGGTAGTCCAGCGCTGATTGGCAATTGGCTGCTTGTGGTCCAGTCAGTATTGTTAGGGTGGGCAGAGATCAGGGATGGGTCCCCCTCCCTCCTGTTAGATTGCCTTGGAGAGGAGGTGCTGGGAGTCCCAGAGGACATAGGAAAGGTGAGAATGCAGGGAGATTTGCCTTCCAGATCTGTTTACGTACTGCCTCTGTCTGGAAACTTCCAGGAACCCAGAGCAGGTTAGGCCCTCCCTTTCTGTTTTTCAGTCCTTCCATTGCTCTGTTACAACTGGGGGTTGCAGGGTTGAAGTCTAGTCAAATGTGTAGCTTCCTGCACTTTATGGACTACTGATGGGTGGGGCCCTAGCTTGCTCATCCCTCTGCTCTCACTGGCCTCATAGGCAGGTACCTGCTAGGTACTCAGTACTTGTACTAATTGAACACTTTGGAATGGGTGGATGGAGAGAGATGAGAGCCCAGCACCTTCCTGGCTGACTATCATCGGACTCATTTGGTAAATCTCTCCATCTTTCCAGTCAGCCTAGCTTCAAGCTGCCAAGGCTCTGTCTTGGCTTAACAACCCCCAAAGGGGGGACCAAGGGTGCTCCCCACTGTGGTGCCTCAGAGATGGGGGAGAGGCTGGTGTGGCACCTCTACCTGCTGCAGATCCAGCTTGAGGAGGCATCATGCACATTAGCATGCTGAACCCATGTCTCTCATAAGGTGTTAATTAAATTTCTTCGAAGTATATTGTCTGAAAAAAAAAGGATAATTAGAAAGATGTCTTTAAAAGTATTTATGTAACTGATACGGTACTGCTTTTGGTTTGACGCATAATTAGATTTAAACACGACTCTTCTAGCAGCATATACTCGTTTGGAGAGGGCTGCTTGTTGAAATGTCATTGCGTTGTTTTTTAAGCGTTGTGAGCCTGGTGAAGTCATTTAGTTGGGGATGTGGCACAGTCTGTGAAGAACACTGGGTTGGGGGCTGATGGCAGTGGGTTCTCAGCTGGCTGAGAGGGCTCCTGGGAACATAGATAGAGCTTATTTAGCAATATTCTTTTAATTTCGGGACTGTTCTTGTCCAGGGAGGTACAAACCCAGACCATGGTTTCTGCTTGTGTCTAAATGACAGTGTCAGAGCTGGGCTCAGGGACCTGGTTGTTTGGACTGCAGTGGTGTTGCTTTACACAATCCCAGAAGGCTCTTGGTGTCAAAATGATCATACTGTCTTGGTCCCTGGAAGTCACCTGTGTTTTGGGGCCCCTCCTGTGCTGTTTTCCTTGGCATTGTGGCTTCTTCCGACTTTTGTGCTGAATGCTGAGCTCAGGGCCAGTTCTCCTGAATGGACTGGAGATTTCAGACCACTCAGCGCCAGTGGGGCAATAGTGCCCCCCAGGGGTGAAAGCTGGTTTTGAGACTTTGGGAAAAAAAAAAATCTGACTTCTAGACAAAGCCTAGAGAGCTAGCTAGCATGGGGAGATGGAGTGCTTCTGTGATGTTAAAACTCCAAGGCTCAGCAGTGATAGCAAGCTGGGAAATGTTGCTTTAGTCCAGAACAGCTGGGCTCTGATTGCAGGCGCTGCACGTGGGTATGGTGTTCCGGCACCCACAGAGGGCGTCTGAGGTACCCACACTGCTGTGACCAAAACAACAACAACAACAACAAAAACAAAAACAAAAAAGCCCAGACAAAGCAGCATAAGGAAGGTTTCATTTTGGCTTATAGCTGGAAGGTGCAGTCTGCCATGGCTTGGAAGCCATGGTGGCAGGAATATGAGGGAGCTGGTCCCAGCCTTTCCAGTGTCATCAGGGCCAGATGACTGCTAGTGTCCCCTATGTTCAAGGTGAAACCTTTAGGGAAGGGTTTCACAAACTCCCAGGTCTGTGTTTCTACAGTGATCCAAAATTCCATCAAGTTAATAATGACATCATGAGACAGAGGGGAAACTGAGGCACAGGAAACAAGGACAATTTGCTAGACCTCCCAGAAGTCTGGTCATTTGGCTCATGTTCAGATGGGCACTATCTGAGTTGATGTGGCTGGGAGCATGGACTGGCTGTATTTTGGAGACCCACCACCCCACAGGATCATGTCTTTGTGACTCCTGTAACCCACAGCATCTTCTCTCCCTGCAGGGTGGACCCCGTGCCTCATGACGCCCCAAAGCCACCTGGCTACACACGCTTTGTCTGTGTTTCTGACACCCATTCAAGGACAGACCCCATCCAGATGCCCTATGGTGATGTGCTGATCCACGCCGGGGACTTCACGGAGCTGGGGCTCCCCAGCGAGGTGAAGAAGTTCAATGAATGGCTGGGTAGGTCCTGTACCCTGTCCACCACCTTGGGGAGCCTTCCCTGGCCTCTCAGGCTGGGTCTTATACCTTTCTTTCCTCATATCCTGGGCTGTGACTTCCCTTTTGTTTGCCAAAGTCTTTTGTATTGGAGCCCCTCCTAAAGGGACTTGGCTCACATGTGTAAGGTCCACTCATGTGTTCTGTCTTGAGTGCTTGGCATAGGTGCTTTCAAAGCTACTGGTGAATGAATGAATAGCTGAGTTGGTGCATGAAGAATGACTTTTTGACAACAGTGATGCCAGGGCAGGTCCTCTACTCATACACTCATGTCTCAGCCTTCAGTGAGGAGACCCCTTTGCTCTTGGGGTAACAGGGACATCCGGTGGGCACCAGCTGGTGTAGGTGACAGAGCCTGACCCAACAAAGTAATGGGTAGGGCTTTGTCCTGGTGCTTTTCTTTTCCCAAAGATATAAACGAGCAGGACCCCTCCTAGCATTGCCCTCCCCCAACACCTGGGGCAGGGAATTTGCATGCTCTGGAGTCTGTGAAAAAGTCACAATGAGGTGGCTCTGTCTCCCCCTTGGGGAGGGGTGGGCAGATGGATGGCTCCTGAGTAGCCTGGGGCACAGGCCTGCTGTCCTGAAGAGGAAAAGCAGGTATGTTCATCTCCCCCATGGGAGGCCCCAGGGGCCACAGCTTCCAGATTGTCCAATCCTTTGTAGTCTGTGGGTGTGCGCTGCCTGGAGCAGGGGGCCAGCCATGAGGGGGGAGCTGTAGAGAGCGAGAGGCCTGGCTCTGCCAGTGGAGACAAATATTTACAAGCAAGCCTTTTCTTCCACTTGGCAGGCTTGGCACTTTAAATATTGATTTTTCAAATGGGGAATTTTAATCCAGGCTCATTTGGGCTAGAACATGTGAAGGCGAGGATAGGAGAGTGTGTAGCCAAGACCAAGTGACAGCCAGGTGCCTCCCTGGCCATGCTCTGGGATGCTTCCTTCAGGGCTCTCTGTGCCCAGGGTAACTCTTTGTCTCTTCTGATGTGAGTGATGAAAGATGAGTGTTTCCCTCTGGCTGGGTCAGTATCACCACAGGCCAGACACCTACTATGTTCCAAGCCCAGCATGGCTGGTTCTTTTCTTCTCTGCTGTGGTGAAATTATGGCCATAGCTTTGGTGAGATGTTTCTTTGTATATTCTCTTTTGACAGATGAGAATTCATGGCCCTTGCAGTATGGCTCAAATACTTGAGCTGAGTGGTCTATGGGCCTGGATCACCAAGGGACCATGATATGGGGATATGCTGTGGCTTTCTCCAGGGAAGGGAAGTCTTCAAGGGAAACTTGGCTTGGAGGCTTGGGCCTTGACAGAGGAGTTGAGAGTCAGCACAGAGTATGGCCAGATGGTTTGGGGCAAAGCAGGGGACCCTGAAGGCTTCTTTCCACAGGCCTCTCTTCTTGGCTGCCTTGAAGTCTTTGGAGAGGCCAGGGATGTCATTGGGTAGGCTGAGCTGCAGGCTACAGAGCCAGGAGCTGCCCTCTCTATTCTTGACCCAGGGCTAGGAACCAGCCACTTGTTGGAAATGTTATTGGTTGTTAGAGTACCACTCCTGCTGGGAGAAGAGGTTTCTGGGGGCTTAGAGATTCTGGCTGGGATAGTGTGTGTGTGTGTGTGTGTGTGTGTGTGTGTGTGTGTGTGTGTGTGTATAGAGTGCATGTGGATACAGCGTGCATTTTCTGAGTGTTTATTCTGTAGGCTCCTGTGTAGAATCCTCTCCTTCAGTCCTGATGACACCAGGGAGCAGCTATTGTTAGATTCATTTTACAGAGTAGAAAATCAAGGTCTAGGGAAGCAAAGAAACTTGTCCAAGGCCACACAGCTAGTATGTGGCAGAGCTGGGATTCAAACTCAGGCAGTAGGACTCTTCAGTGAGACTCTTCAATGCACCTCTTGTTCTTAGGAGTAGGGTGCATGGCTTCATTGTCTGGGACTGACACCCTGAGTCTGCTTCTGGACTTCAGTTACCCCATTCTGCATGGTGGCCAGGCGCCACTACTGTGCCCACCTCCAAAGGCAGATCAGAGGTTGGCATGGGAGAAACAGTTAAGCTTTGTGCAATGTGAAGTGTGGAGTGCATGTCATGGTTGCTTCTGTGAACTGGTATTTCCATATCAGGGCTCCCTCAGGAAAGGAGCAGGGACTTAGAGGAGAGCGACTTGGCATGAGGTAAGCTGGCAGGGCTGGCTGTAAATGCATGTTTACCTCTCTGCTTCTGAGTGTGGGCATGTGATCGCAATGGTCAACCATCTCCATAGACAGAGGACAGACCAGAAGAAAATGCTCCTTTGACTCATGTCCTGAGGGCCCATAGGAGTGTCAGGTGGGGAGATGGTGATCAATAGAGAAAAGTAGGTATCTTTGGAGGATTGACCTGGGGACCTGGGGTGTGGTAGTGTAGGCCTTGGGCTGGGTGTTTATGGGACACCCTGCAATGACCGACCTTGGACCAGGATGGAGGGTAGATATAGGGTAGAGCGTGCAGAGCTGGGGAAGAGTAGGAGGCAGAGGACATGACTGCCATAGGCCCTGAGGTGGGACAGAAAAAACGAGGGTAGTGTGAGGAGGGCTGGTTAGGAATTGGTGCTGATTCTAAGTGTGATGGAGGTTTATGGGTTTAATGAGGGGAGGGCTCCATGACTTCCCAAGGGCAGATGTGAATAGCAGAGTCAGGGTGGCAGCATCATGGGTAGCTACTTTGGAAGGTTCCAGAATGGATGTCTGGGTCAGGAGAATCATTTCCTTGCTTTCTTCTAGTTCCTTAAAGGAAGCGTGTGCTACTCTGTAGCAGATGCAGCAGAGCCCATGGCTCTAAGACCTGGTCCCCTTGGTGACTGGTGCTGTACATCTGTCCAGGAGGGGTGGGCAGCGTAAGAGAGTCCCACTTGGGTATTCAGTCATCCCGATGCCTCCATGAGATTTTCTCAGCTGTGCCACCTCCCAGGTCCTGGAGCTGAACCCAGGCAACATCTTCCCTACCTGCTGGTCTCAGGGATGGAAGTGAAGTTTCAATCCAGGCCAGTTCCCAATGGACAGGAGATTTAAAAGCTAGCGCAGACTCTCAGTGAGACAGTGAGATCTGCCTAGGGTTGAACAGCCCACCCCATGCTGCCTCTGAGCTGTCAGAATTCAGGGATGCCTGTGTTTCCATTATTACAGGCATCTGTCTGGGTCCTTGGAGGTAAAGGTGGGAGCTGCAGCATCATTCCCTCCCCCGTTTCTTCTGTGACTGTCCCAGTGAGAAGTTAAAAAATGGCTGTGGGCACACCCCCCACTTCTCAGAGTAAAAGGAAAAATGTGAAACTTGCTGAACGGAGCCAAGGAAGTTCCTTCTTCCTCCTCAGGCAATGGTGTGATCACCAGGCAGCAGAGTCGGCCCCATCCCTCCCCAAGGGCAGGTTGGTTCAGGGATCCCTGAGCGAGAACACCAGGCCGGATTCTGCTGCTGCCAAATGATAAATGATAGACCTATTGGGAAGACGGCTGCTCATTGTTGGACTGCCCAGGATTGGCTCCTGGCTTCCAGCTGGGAATCTACAGTCTGCAGCTTTCACTGGCATTCCCACCTTCAGGTATCAGTCCCTGCATGCCCTAGGGTGGGCAGGGGGCTGAAGGCAGCTCACTTCTTCCCATCCCTCCCTCTAGCCTTTGCTTGGTGCACCCGGCACTTCTCCTTCTGGCCTCTGAGCCTCCTTCCTTTTTGCTTTTCCATCACTTCTTTTGAGCTCTGTCCTGGTCCATGAAGGGTTGTTCCTCTGTTCCTTCCCTCATAACCACCTTAACCACAGACAGTGCCCCAGCTTTTATTCCCCACAGACCAGTGGGATAACTCTAGAGAATTCCACTTTTTCCAGTGCCAGTTCAGAGTCCCCCAGACCACGCCTCCTCACAGGTGTCATTAGGCCTTCAGGCTTGTTTCTACCTTTTTTTTTTTTTTTAGCTCTGCCCCATCCCCATGCGTTATGGGCCAAACTATAACTTGCCATGTAATTAGTGGCCAGTGTCTGCCTATCTGGGCCCAGATGTCTGTCCTCGTAGCCTGTTGGCCTCCCCACTCACCAGTATCACCCTCTGAATTCGTGTGGGGCTGGAAGAGCCAGCCCACCTGGCTCCTTCTTCCTGTGGGCTCCCATGAGCCTCTGAAAGGGCTGGAGATGGAGATCAGGCTAGCTCAGCCAAGGCAGCTTAGCCTTGGGCATGGAAGAAAAGCAGAGTGAGGCCCGTGAAGGGCACAGTGAACCAGCTGATTCAGTTGTATGGCCTGGGGCAGAGGAGGGAGATAGGGTGGGGGTGGGGGACCCTTAATGGAGTGTTTAGAAGTTATAATTAACTTTTCCTGGCACCCTGGCAAAGAACGATAGAGAAGACAATATAAAAGGGGGCCAAGGATTTAGTTAAATAGAGCTCACTCTTCTGCAAGGAAACCCTTAATTAAAATCTGCGAGGGAGGAAGGGGGGGGTGTAGGATTTACTGCAAACCCGGGTCTGTATCTTGCCTCATTTGTAGCATTGCTGAGGCTGTGTTGAAGACTGCACATATTGCCTCCTTGCAGTTCAGATGAGTGAAGGAGCCAGCAAGAATGAGTGGCCCTGCCAAGCCCCTGCAGAGCGGGCACTGCTCGGAGCCTACACCTTCTGATTATTCCTGTCAAAAAGTGTTCCAGATGCTGGTGGAGTTTGATGACCCTCCTTAGCCACCTTTCCCTCACTCCTGATTGGCTCTTTCTGACAGGGTGGCCCCTGTTGGCCCTCACCTCTTTGGAGGCCAATCTTGGGCTTGCATGGGAGGGGCTCCATAGTTCTCAGTGCTGGGGTATCAGGGTGGGCAGGCCTTATGCTGACATATGCATGTCAGGACCCAGAGACCTTGAACCAGTGTGTGGCTCTGTCCTCAGCAGCTGGTTGACCACTCCCAGTTCATCTCAATCATGTGAGAGCCCTGAACTTTCCCAGTGGAACTAGAGTTT